TTAATATTAATGTTGCACTTATATACATACACGCGTGCACCCTTGCCGCGACGAGTACAGTGACTTCGTCGTTTCTCGAATGTCGAGCGAAAGCCCGTTCGGTACGCGCCTCGGTTATCCGTTCCTTCGGTTCCCGAGAATTTCACCTTCGCGGCTGTGTAATTGGATTACGGCTGATAGACGGCGGATTCTATGCGTTCGCTGTAAGCACGAGTGCGTAGAATATAAAGTAAACGAATGATTCGTAAGAATTTACTTTATTTTCGACGCGTTCAAGCTCGTACGAGAAAAACATTCAGTTTCCACTGAACCCTTCTCGCGTTGATTGTTCCGAGAGATTTTCAATTCGCTTCACACTAGAACCACAGAAACATAGCACTAGAAAAATAACACTAGAAATTGAGGTTTTCAAATTTCTCTATAGGGACTCTAAGACTACAGCTATTGAGATTTCAATTGAATTCAATTATGATTCAATTTGCGCTAAGTCAATGTCTTCAGTAATTACGCAAATAAGCGTCTGCTGTCTTCTCAATAATTGTGAAACAATAATTCACGAGTAGTACTAGTGTGAAAGGTCCGCTGTCTACCAGCGAAGTGTCCAGCCCGAGTCCTTCGATGGTCTCCTAAGCGAAAGAAGGGTTCTCTTGAATGACGGGAAACGCGTTCGGCGATTCGTGGCTAACAATGGTGCTCGTTAGACCGTTCCAGAGGGTATAGAGAAAGTCACTGTACATCTTCCAGCAAGAATATGTATATAAGTAACAATATAATAATGCGCAATATGTATATCGCGATCTTCTTTCCTTTCTAAGAGGACATCGTCTCGGCGACGCGATTCCAAGGACTTCCGGTAGAAACTATTTACAGTATTATACTACAAAGATCGTCGTGCGCCAGAGGAAACGGATGTCTGCCGGGATTATACGCTTTCCCCTACCGGTCTCAACGTTCGTTCGACAGTCATCGAGTATTCCGTTCATTCGACCGAATGAGACTTCACGATCCGACTCATTGTGAACAGGAGACACAGAACTATACATGTTTTTCACGCCCTGCGCTAATCGATCAGAATTAACCCTTTGCGGATAACCTTCCGAAGAATGAGAAAGCTTTCCCTTAGAAAAATAAATGGCGGATCTAACCTTGAAGTGGCAGGAAAGAAGAGAACCATGCGGTGATCTTTCGTTGTTTAAATGAAATCATTCGTTTGTAACATTGAACTGTAGATCCTCAAAGGGTTAGATGACACTTAAAATATACTCGACGCTAATCGTTCAACTTTTGCTTAGAATATAGAGCAGGGATGATAAAGTTTAAATGCCCAGGAACAACCCTTTCGAAGGTCCATAATGAAGTGTCCCCGATCCACAATGGATCGATTCGAAGAACGATTGGTATCGCGAAAGATTTCACGTTGTAAAACGATCACGTTCGCTTTTCCACGATGATGATCTCTCCTCTTTGCTCCCTTAATTCGAGGGGCGGTGACGTCCTCCGACCCCGACGATCGAATCCTAGCGAAAGCTATCCGTTAGATCTAACTTAGCTCAATTAAGCCTACGTTCATTTCACTCTCATTTTTTGTTTTTTCGTGGTATCGATATTTTCTCAATGAAATTACTCGCGTTACAAAGTGCGAAGTCGCTCGCTCGCAAGCCGCGGCAGCTAAACCTATAGATCGGCCGCGTTCGAAATGGCGAAACGAAGGCTACGAACGTGTTCGTGATCGTGCTGTGTGTACAAGAGAAGCGATCGCCGCTGACGGATCCGCTGGTTCGCTCTCATTCGTCACGCTTGCTCTTTCGCTTTGTGCTAATCGATCTTCGTCCGTTCGAGACTCTTTTCTTTCTCCGTTTCTCTTCGTTCTTCTTCTCGTGACTCGCTCGGCGTGGGCTCGAGCTGCCGTTTCGTTCGACAGGAGTCGCCCTTAACTCGTTAACTCGATGATCCTTTGATCACGCGTGGAAGCTTAATCGACGATGAATAACAATCACTTAACCCTTCGCGACGAAGATGAAAAGAACATCGGAGAATATTCAAATGTAATGAGGTTGAATAAAAATGGCGCTTCAAAGTGCCATCGGTGAGCGAAGGGTTAAATCTAATTGGAGCAAGCCACATGGGCGAATAAATAGAACAATGGAAAACAGTCGGGGGATCAACGGAGAAATCGTCTTCCTCGGTTAACGTGTTAAGGGGTGAATATCGGTTCGAGTTTATCGGCGAAGACGGAGAACAAACGTATCAAACATTGATGTTGCACGACTCGATTTCATTTGGCTTTCTGTACGACTTCGATACGATGACCATAAAAGCCTTACGGTCTGGCGAATACGATGACCCCGAGTGTCTCGGCTCGTTTCGACAATTTAGACGTCGTTTTTCGAAGGCAAAGTGGTAAAAAGTGAGACGCGGACTTCGAAAGCTAAGCCGGAACGCGTATATCGGAACGATAAATATATCGCGCGCGGTTCCTGGACATAATCGGAACACGCGGACGACGATTATTGCAACATCATGAGGAGATTAACAGGATGCATCGACGGTTGACCTGTTAACCGGAGGTTGGAAACGAACAATGCGACCTTTGTACGTGTCGACCGTTTATCACAAATAAAATGGTCATTCGAACGGACGTAGGAACTCTAAACGATCATCACTCGCGAAGACGAAGACAGTCTTCCATTCGGGGGTAAAAGGGAAAACGGACACGCGTCGATCGATTCGCAACTCGGTGTAACGGGATATTCCTGTAAACCTCGTTCAACTAGAATTCATTCGAAGAGCCAACAAGTTATCGATTAAATACGGCGTTAAATAAAAAGAACCAAATCGCCTGCGGTCTGATCCAATAGACTTCGGAGGGAGAGGCTTGAACCTTAACGCGTTGACTACCGATCACCGATCATCTGAGATTTCGTATAGCTCGGAAACTATTGCAACAAGGAAGTCGATGTCGAAGAGATACATTTAGAAACCTGAGTAACTATATGATAGTGTAACCTCAGAATTATGGCGTCGGATATTAATTATTTCTATTTATCGTCCCTACGAAAGTGGTGTGTGAAACGCCGAAGATTCTCAGCAGTCAACGTGTCAGGAACACCGGTTCCGGCGAAGATTCGCGAGGGGAAGACGATTGGGGGGAAGAAACAAGAGAATGAACCGTATATGTCCCGTTTTCCCGTGATTATCCGCATCGGCGCGATAATGAAGGTTCTGCTAATAGTCCCCTGATTAAACTAAATCGACGCCCCAAACCGTTTCAGCGCCGACGAGAATTCGTTGTACAGTTTCCGACTCGTCCCGCTAATTAATGTTGAAAAAGTCTCGTATAATAATGTGCTATTTCGACGGTGAACGGACACTGCACAGAACGCGATTCTTTCATCATTCTTTGATTCCGTGGCGGAGCATTCGGGCGACCCGAGTTACGCGTATCACACAGGGGATCGAGGACTCTTAGCACAACCCGTTCGTCTCGACTGAAACTGATCTCTAAACCAAACAACCTATGAACACATGAGAAAGTAATCAATTTCCGGATCGACATCGAAATCGACTACTGGCTTCGGAATATGAAGATTCGAAGGGTAACACTTTCAAACATTCGTTTGAACGACGCGTCGTCTTTCTCGCGTCTGATTCTATCGTTAAACCATCATCCCGTCCCTCCTCCCCCCCTTGCGGGTACAACTACAATTCTCATCTATTCTCCACGAAGAAGTTCCATCCCATTCCGTTTTCAAACCACGGAAAGAAACAAATATTCGATAGAACTCGATGAACCTGAGCGGCTCGATCTTCTCTCGCTAATCGGTTTGCACGTCGGTCGGGATATTTTCTGTTAACTTTTCTCTATTAACGAACAATTACACTGGTCCTCGGTGAACAATGTGAACTGTCTCGCGGCGACAAAGCATCTTTCAACGTCCCTCGGGCCGGTGCGTGTTTCTTTTTAAAGATCTTCTCGGACGTAAGAAAGTATAAAAGATTCGTTCGAAGAACAATAAACAAGCTGAATTTCACGCTCGAAAGGCAGAAGCTCCGGGATTATTCTCTTGTGCGTTCGGGAAAACGCGAGAAGAGGCAAAGTTCTCGTGCCAACAGGATGCGAACCGTGCAATTTCTCAAGACCGGAGCAATTGTTTAGACAGTCCAAGATGAATTACTTCGACCTTCGTGAATAATCATGGAAAACAAATCTTTGTTCAACTGGAATCCATTTTGTTGCGGATAATTTGAACGATGATGTTTCTTTGCGTGTTCCCTTTTCTTGGATTTTTGCAGTTTTACAAAAGGCGAAGAGTCTAATCGAACAGACTCTGTTTGTGTAGGATTGAAAAAAAGAATACGAATCGCGTGAGCAGCGGCAAATAAAAATAATATTCCGATTCAACGTGCCGCGTTAATTCTTAATGATGGGTTCTCACTCGGCATTGAACGTAAGAAAACGGAAGACAAGAACAGATTTGCAAACGGTTCCGGACACCTGAGTGCACGAGTCGATGCTGTGTTTGTATCTGACGCGGTCTAACGTCGACCATTGGATTCTTTCGCTGGTAACTAGAACGCGATCAGCTAAAACAAAAAATCTGTGCGCTACGTGAATGAGCCAGCCATTCGTGCTTCGAAATTCATTTTTTCCTACCGAATCAAATCTTTAGTTCACACTTGCTTAAATAATACAATTGATCTAAAATTAGATAATTCTTCGATAAGGCTACAGTAAATTCGCCTCGTTCATGTGTAAAAGCTCCAAAAATTCCGAGAAATCTACGCTAATCCTACCTCTACGTACGCTTAATCGTAACGCCTACGTAAATTAATCTTGGAAACTCGATCCACCGATCGATCGCGGAGATTTTGTCCCGTTGAATCGTTCCCTAGTTACGGCATCTCCGAAACATCAGAGGTTCCGAGTGCCAAACTTGATCGTGACGTCTCAAAAATATCATGGATTTCAGGTGCTAATCAGGTTTTGTTGTTACACAAATTTATTCATTATAAAGCGATAGAAATTATTTTATTTTTTCATCCTTTCGTGTACGGAGCGTCAAGTCAGAGATTAAATCTCGGAATTCAATCGAAAGGGAAAGGATCGAAACGAAAGCCCCAGCAATAACGTGCGTTAACGCTCCGCAAAACCTGTTCTAATATCAGAACATTTGTCTTATCGATAAAACGGCCAGCATCCCTTCCTTTCATCATTTTGAGAGCGTACAATTAGACCGCGCACAACGTGTGTGTTGGTACTCGAATGATAAAGCATATACCTTGTTTTCCAAATTTAATGAAAGGAACTTGGCGCAACTGACGCTATAAAAATATTTGTACATTCCGTAATAATGTTCTCTTGTTGTCCCAACGTTTAAATCTCGACAACTTACATGTTTCATGACAAAGATCAAGTTTTTCTCAAGTATTTCGTGATACTCCCTCTTTTCCTCCTTTCTCGTTAATAATAATTTTAAGTGAAGTCACTTTCTTCTTCGTTGCTAATGAAATAAGAAGAGAATATATACGCGATTCAAAGTTTCCCGAATATCTAGTAACATTGACGACCTGGGACGCTTAAAAGTTAGTAAAGTTCCAATCACTGGGGTCAGGGGAATGGCCAATTTCATTTTCAAAAAGTATAATGCGGCGGCGTATTGGTTGCTGACAAAAAGGACCGTGACAAATAGTCAAGAAAAATTTTGTTCGATTCTTTTCACAAATCAATGAACAGAATTCCATAGATAACTAGGTGGCAATGCCGTTGCGAATTAAGAGTATTACCAACTTTCATTCTACTCGCGGGAAATCATTTACTAGAGCAACGCGTTAAGCGAGCGCATTAATTCATTAACAGTATCAAACACTTTACACGGTATCGTGCCTGAATTATCTGATTCGCTGGTTCACAATAACCTTTCTAGATCACCTTTCTATTTTCCGCTATACGGATTTAGTCAGCATCATAACCGAGGACCAACTGAGCATAATATAATTCGAGTTCAGTACGTAATCCCGATAAGCAAGAGCATAGCCATATATGCCGGTAAATACAACCTTAACGGACTATCATAAGAATAGATCCATGAACTTTTTTTCTGTGACGGTAGAATATATTTCTCGTCTACCATCACTTAATAGTATATCGCTTTTTATCATTCCTAACGTTTTTCAGCATCGAGTCTAACATTCGTTTCTATATACAAAGATTGAGACAGTTTTGTGCTCATTCTATTACACCTGGTACACCTTGTACTTCTGCGTGTGATTCTTTTGTGATTTGAAATGGGACGTTCTCTTTGCTAGAACGAGTATCCTATCCCAAGGAGAGCGACGCACTTATCCGTGTTAACAATCCAGCAAGTGCCACTAAGTGCACTTACCCTTCCCGTTTCGAGACGATCACTTCTGAGCGTTAGATGCGTTCTCTGTTTTAATTGTGACCGACTTGCTTTGCTCGGACTTGCCGGTGCCGGACTGCCGATCCCTGGCAGTGTTCTGGAATTTGCTCACCTCCTGGGGCCTCGTGAAAGAACTGGAATTCTGTCTGCTACGTGGCTGTTGTTTGCTGAGATCTCTCTGACTGCTCGACAAACCCGAGGATCCCTCGTTTCGTCTCCTGGAATGGCCCAATCGTCCTGAGCCGAACGAACCGGCTCTGTTACGGAACTGCGAAAGATTCACCGAGTCCGTACGGGACTTTTGCGCGGCGGGATTATTCTCGGAACTCGAGGTTGGCAGTGTTACTGTGCTGGATCCACCAGATAATCGGCGAACTCGATTCGTCGGCGACGCATCACCGCCGCCGGCGCTCTCCGATACACTCCTGTTACGCCTCTTTGCTGCCTGAGATCGTGAATTCGCGGCAAATTCTTGAAGCATTTCGTTTATTTGAGGCTGCAACATAGTATAATTAGCAAAATTTGTTCTATATTCTTAACGTTTCATGGCATTTTATTCTACCAATAATTCAAATGAAAAGTATAAAGTGTCTTTACCTCAACAACTCTGAAGTCTTCAATGCTCTTGAAGTTAGATAAATACTCTTGCAATTTGGGATCCACTTGTAGTTGACTGGACTGTTTGTAATACTTTAGGAACGCCCAGAATTTTTCAAGACCATACAATTGACCTGTAATAAGAAGGAAAATTTATGTAATATGTTTCAATTTTCGATCATCTCTCCGTATAGTTTCAAGTAAAGCACTTGTTGCTATGCTAAACACCACGCACGAGACAACAGTCTTCGTAGTATCAACATTGCATTTCTGTTACTATAGCACACTTTAACCGTTTAGCTGTTGGAAGGTAGAACAGCTGAACAACCTACATGTGCATATATATAACCTCAACGCAATTTAGAAGAAACGTACTCACCGCTTTCGTAATCTTGTATCGTTTCAACTTGGAAGTCTTTGTAAAGGTGATGTCTGAACCTCTTCTCTAATCCATAACTGTAGAATCGGAAAAGGCATTCCAAACCATATCGGTAACCTTCCAAGGCATCTTCTTTGGCTATGGTTCTAAATTCCTCGTACATGGTACGATTGAAATTCTCTCTCAAGAAGAACGACCAAAAACGGAAGAGTGTGTTCATTTCTTGAGACTGACCAATTCCGAGTCTCTTGCGTTCTGAAACAAGATAAACACATCTTGATAAACTCTCACTATTCGGATATGCTTGTAATTAATGTGGCTCAAGATGTTCTCAGATCCTCTTTTCACATCACAATTTTTCCTCAGTCGGGAAAAGAAGACAAAATTAAATGGATTCATCATTAAATCTTTATTCGACTTTGAAAAATAAATAAATCTTTGTATATTCCTCTCACCTTTTAAGCAACGCGAGTGATATTTATGATACACTTGTTGAGTGAAACCATTCTCTTTCAAAAGGGCGTGACTCGGATGTTGGAAAGTGGGAAGAGATTGCGGTACACTTCCATAGCTACTCGCAAGATAACCCTCGCTAGGACTTGTTCCCGCGCTGCTTCTGTAACACAAAAAGTTTCTTAATGCAGAATTATTCAATTATTTTACCTTAAATTGTTCTATTCTTGGATATTGCAAACATACCCTGTAGAATATGTGCGCGGCCGATGTTCTCGGACATCCATGATCCAACCTACATGATGTTCAACAGGTGGATTGTTGCTATGTCGCGTTTTCCTCTTACGTGGTGTCCTAGGATCGACCGAAGGTTCATCTTTAACAACAGCAAAGAAACGTGGAACTACTCCGCTTCTACCGCTCCTGCTGATTCTGGACTTGTCGATTCTGCGGTTCTTATCCGCTCGACGATCCTTCTTCTCTTGAATATCTATCATTATTGACGCCTGACATCGAAAGAAAAACATTTACGTGAAAAATGATATAAATCCTTAAATAAAACCAATTCGAAGGTCAATTCAAATACCTGTGTTGGAAGCGACTGTGACACCTCAATATCGTCTATCGCTAACGGAGGTGGTGGAGGAACTTCGGGGTTAGTCTTCTTAGGTGCTTTGGGCGCCATTTTCTCGAAGTCTTCTTGACTAATCACATTCACGGTCTTGTAACTTCCAATCGACGAAGAGGAACCATACTATAGAAAGTGTTATGCGCGTTAATAAAACTTAGTGCAAGGTAGCTAAAACCGGTAAATAAATTGTGCACTTACCCTTTGACCATCTTTCGTCCATAAATCTTCCTCATAGTAGTACAAGCCATCGTTAATGGCCTGTTCAAGATCCTGAGTCATTTTCACTCTCGTCGTCCAATCGCCCGTTCGATCATGACCCTCGTGTTTCGGGATCCGCGTTGATATAGGCACCGTTGTTTGCGTGAAGATTAAAAGTTTATTTAGATCCCTATCCGACAATTCATAATCCTCGTCGTCCTCAGACCTGCGTAATTCATTGATCAAATAGTTAATGTATGTTCGCAGAGGATATCATCGTATTATTACAAAGTAATGTCTAGAAGAAGACGAAAGAGTAGCAACAAACCATTCGGAAAACGCATTATGCCGGCCGGTCGGTGGTGGTGTATCGAGTTCCTCGTCAAATTGAAAGTCTAACTCTTCCCTTTCTTCGCTTTTAATATTATCAACTTTCTCTTTCTCTTCGTTTCTCTCCTTATGTGACGGTTTCACCCTTCGCCTTACCTATTATATTTTCATGAACTCAGTTATTACTTATCGCTAACAGTAATAACTTTCGAAATAGACCCACAGTCTGTGTCAACGTTTAACGCTGATGTTTCGAAAAAATTATTATGTATTTAATCATTAACGACAGATCCTATTTACACCTTTCGTTAAATCGTATCGGAATTCTTTATATCTCTAGGATAAAAAGATACGGTTCAATTTAAGATCTTGAACAACTTGTAAAAGTGGAAGTTTCTTCTGTGAATTAAAAAAAAGAACCCGAAGATGTAATTTGCTAATTGGTACTGGTATGCCCACGAAAAAGAAATTACCTCTTTCCATACGTCATCGCTCGGCGTCTGTAATTCACCGTTGACTTTTACTCCCGGCGCTCGGCTTGGACTAGAACTCTTGACCATCCCGGATGACTTATCGTCCGTCTTGAGAGCAGCATCGTTTGCGTGAGAAGGCGAGTCATTACTCAATGATGCCGCTGGAATGCTTTTCGCTTGGTCCGACTGTTTCCCGTTCTTCGTGGAATCACTCCCGCTGTCGGCTGCAACAGACTCGTTGTTCTTGCTTGTCAATTCGTTCGGTATGAACTCCGGCACGTCAGGATTTAAATTCTCTCCTATCGACGAAGATACGCTTTCCGATTCACTGAGTCTTCCTACTGTAGAGATAACATGGTTGGATTGAAGAACACGTGGAATTGGGGGAATAGGAATCGTTGACAGAGGTCTGGCAGCGGGAAAAAAATCGGATTCGGACGAGGAGAGTATTACTTCGTTTTGAGATGGATCCGTACTGGACCATTCCGAAAAGACAGGATTTCCAGCTGCGTCTATGATGGGCCACTTCAAAGGGTCTACGGTTGTTCTAACCTAGGAATCGAAATAATAACCCTTAGCAATTATAAAACTTCTTCGCTGTTTCGAACGAGGTTTGTGGAATATATCAGTGAACTTTAAATTTATTTAGAGTATCGAATTGTGAGGAGGTCTACTTTCAAACTCCATTCATCGGACCTAAGCCCTAATGGTGTCAGCGAATCCTCTTCTATTTACTTTAGCACAAATTTTTAATCCAACACACGTAGAGAACGCGGATGAACTTATACTTCGTGCACTGTTAAAGGTGTACAATCGAGAATAAACTTTACCTTAAATCCATCCACCAGTTCTAGCTTGTCAGACTCCATGATCGCTTCGATAACAAGGCCCACGTTTGTCGTCAACGTTTGAACACGATGGAAGGAAGCGATTAAAGTAATAGGTAAAAATCCTTGCGCGTCCATTTTGCGGCGTAGGAAAAAGTCCCGTAAAAGATTCTCTTCGCTGAAGTAGTATTCTCTGCGAAATAAAAATTGTAAACTGTCAATGTTAGCTAACGATGAATTCTGTTCTATCAAATGAATTCTCAAGCTTACATTTGATTTCTTATATATTCCTTGAGCGTCGTTACATCATCTCTATTAATGTAATTCGTATTATTGAAATAAAATGTTCCCATGTAAGGCATTATGTAAGCTGGAAGTCCATATTTATGCATCTGCAAAAATATGCTATTTTAAAGCAACTGATTCATCAACTCGTACCCTTTCACTCGAGAAAATTAAATATCAGGTCTACTTTCAATTGTTCGTCAGCGGATATTCGGAGAGATTCCCACCGATGTTTCATCATTATTATTATTATTATGATCATCATCGCTTATCCTTTTCTATTTACTCAATAGTATAGTTACCTGCATATAGTCTGCTGCAAAATTCGGGTAGTCTTGGTCGTGCCTATGCCTAAAGGTGCCCCGATAAGCGCCTCGGCCACCTCGTCCTCCTCTCCCTCTGTAACTTCGTCCACCTCGCCCACCTCTCGTATTATACCCTGTCCTCTCGTGCTCCCTATCTCTATATGAATCTGCTTCTGCAATAGGTCAGAAATTGATCGTTAATAACGTGAAGAATTAATGATTATACCGCTAACATCCACGCATAAAGTTCACACTTTATTAATCATGATTATTGAAAGGAGTACACAAGACACACCTTCTCCATTTTTCTCCCTATGATTGTAGTACTTTGGAGATCGTTCCCTTTTACTTCTGTTCTTAGTAATGTCTATTTCCAGAGGCACCCATTTCTGTTTGTTTACTGCAAGGTAAAAGATACGTCGTTAACTCACATATATCTTTCAGCCAAAATTAGAAGAAAACAGTTGTGAAAGAAGCAACTGGAAATTTGTCCACTGCCTTTCCCCGGATCGATCGAGGTTACCTTTCTTTTTCTTTTCACTGCTTTCCGTGTGCTCGTCGCTGTCTTCTTGGCAGTGATTCTGCTCCTTATTTTCTTTCCCTCTGCTTTCTATCGTTCCGGTGCTTTCCTTACCGTTACTTGATTCGACAACACCGTTTTGCTTCTGTGTCGTCACAGCTGTCTTCTTCTAAAGAAAAATTATCCGTCCATTGTAGATACATTCGAGAAGGAATCTCATAGGATTAGCCGTTACGCACTTTTATGAAACTTTCAAGATAAAGCAAGCTATTGTGGAATGCGATAACACATCGCGGATACTAGATGAATCCGCATTAAGCATTCAATCGTTAGCATTCAATGTTACTTTAGCAAAAGTTCTACGCTCGTAGATATATGAGAATATTCTACGAGTTCTAGCATTTGCGATCGTTAATTTTCTTTGAAGTAATTAAGTGTCTTGTCTGATTCTAAATGACCGTATGGAAAGAAACTTTTAAACGACTATTATTAAAAAGCACCTGATTATAGAACCACTGCCGAGGTATTTGCAATTAGTAGACAATTCGGCGACGTTTCACGTCGGATACGCAAGCAAAAGGAAACCAGAACAAGGTGGATCAATGGTAAAAAATCTACCGGTGCCACTTTGTTTATCTCATTTACAAAAAAAGGAAGATTATTTACTCGAAGGACTCGAACGTAACCGCTAAGAAAAACGATAAATAAATTTAACCCACCTCTCCTTGAGCGCCCAAGGTTGGCCAATCGCCGATGTCCGAGAAGTCGCTCGCCTGTTAAATGTAACAACTAAATTTTAATTGCTTCCCATAAAATCAAGGGAAAACGCCGCGAAGACGCGAGATAACGTTAGTTCACGAAAAACGCGTTCACCGTTCCGCACGTAAACCCGCTGGCTATCGCGCCGCTAATCTTTATGCAATCTACGCCACACTAAAAATCATCGAGAAAAACGATAAAAACGTTGATTCTCATAGAACTACGTTGACTTTGACAACAGATAAGGAAAATTGCTTTTCTAATGGACACTCGAACGATTATCCGAAGAACTTCGTGATCGTTCGAAGTTCGAGTACGCTAAACTCGAGTATTCAACGGTTTGAAGATCTCAAAAAAATTTGCTTTTAAAGCGTCGCCTACCTTTTGGTTGAATTTTCTTCGATCCTTTGTAGCTGTGACTATAGTCGGCTGACTTCCGGCGTTGATACCGTTTTCTGCAACACACGATCAACAATATTCATTTCATTGCCATACGCATACGGGTGGGTGCCGATATATTCGAGCTCAAATTGATTCTCTTATCATGTATCTCAAACAACATGAAACTACTCATTCTCCTGCATTTCATTTCAACCCCTATGTGTTCAATATGCTATATTTTTCCATAAATTCTTTAGCACGCCTTCACAAATTTCCTTTAGTACGCACAGCGTTACAAAAGAAGTATTCGTACGATGTATGCGTTTAACCCTTTGCACCCTCGGTCGCTCGATTTGATATAATAAAATAATAAAATCTTATATACAATATCAAGCTTTCTATACTGCATCGGTATGCGAAATATTCGAATGAAAAAACTTTACCGATTTATGTACATATTAAGAATCTCTGCCACGTCTCATCGGAAAGTGTTGAATATCTCTAGTGAAAAACTGCGGACCGCGATGGGTTAATTGCCGACACGCTTTTGCACCGTATCAATTGAGTTAAATGTCAATTCCATCCACCCACGCTTTCACGGAAAGGAAATTTCTTGCGAAACGCAGCGCGATGCAAATAATTTGTAACTCGAAGGCGAAGCTATGCCGGGTAAACGGCATTAGGCGGCGTAAAGCAAAAGTCAACGGTGTACGAATACATTTTTCCACGTCTTCTTGTGTGTCGCTGCGCGGCTAGCGAACGTTTCCACGAAAACATCCGACGTTATCGTTGATTCCCTTATTTTCTATAAATAATCGACGCCGGCTCGTGTCAGAAACGAAACAGCTCTCTGCTTTAACCGCAGCGCGTTACGCAAGTGATACACAGCCGTAGATTTGCTCGTTGACCCCTTTTCATTCGAGTCAATCTTATTCGTTCGCTTCAAAAACACAAATCACCGCGAAAGCGAAAGTAACCTGCCAGCTCGTATTACCGTCTTGATTGTCGTGGACACGTACCGGCGACACGACCGAAAATTAAAACGGTCCACAACTAGATCGCCATTTATGTTCGAGAAATGTTCGATCGCGTTGAACAGCGGTTCCCAACCAGTGGTGCGTATATAACACTTTCACTGGGGATAGACGAAAATAATGTGAAATAAAAATAAAAATGAAAGGAGTTGAAACAAAAACGCAACGGCAAAGTTATAGAGTTCCGGTGTACAAAGAGAATGTTACGTGAAAGTTAAGATGAATAAAAATGATTCGCTTTTATCTGTTTCGATCTTATTAAGCTGCTATTACGGTAAACTGAATTTTAAGAGCTGACCGGGAATTGATGAAAGGGAAAACGTTGGGAACCACTGGCATAGAACGCTCGGTGTTCAGGGGGAAAGAGAGAATCAAAGGTCACGCCCGGTAATCGTTTACGATTGTTACTTAATCGTTTACTTTTTCTTTTGTTTACTCCGTGCTCGTTCTCGTAAATTTGCCCACAAAAAAAAACGGCATTTGAATAATGGTCTGCCGATGAGCAACTCTGAACAAACACACAAGTGCAGAACAAAGTGTTTCTCAAATAGAACAGTTCCTGGTACCTTGATATTAACTTTCTACGGAGTTACGTTCAAGAGGATTACACGTTTGCCTTTCCTCGTAACGCGTGAAATAATGCCTCGGCAAACAGTAAAGTATCACTGACCCGAACAACCCCTTCACTTTTGAAACATAGAAATACACTTTTCACTGAAGTGCGTTGCTCGAACGTGGAACGTAAGTTAAGGAAACGATTGTCTACGCCGGGAATACCGTCGATTTTTTCCCAACAATAACTGAAAACGTGTGCAATATTTCACTTCGGGCCCAGCTACTTTCAAACTAGTGCCACTCGGCTTAACGCGAATTCCTTAGCTCGACGAGCAACGTTCCTCAATAATCATCTGCTAATATCTACAGAATATTTTTAAGAATTTCAGTCGTATAGACACAAGGTTGCGATTATCGGGAAAAAGTCGATGAACGAAAGTGCTCGCTAAAGAGATAAACGACGGATTACGTAAGAGGCGTAATCTTTCGAAAAATAGATAAATACTTCGTCGAAACGTCCGCGAACCCGTCTAGTTCTGACCCAAAAGGCTCCATGGAATCCGAAAACACCTCGAGCGTGTTATTTCATACACTCTGGCTCGAGTTTGAACGCGCCGTTTGCCGCGAGAGCTATCTTAGAACGTTAACTCGCTGGCGGTCTCTTGGCTACCTCAATTTTGTCCTGTTGCCAAGTCGGCTCGGGGGGACGAACGTTCTCTACGCCGGAATAATAATGACACCTTAACCCGAACGTATTCGTTGTCAACAACTGTCAACCCGTGAACGGTAAACAGTAAACAGCACTGTACCATCATTACACGAACTGTCAGACGGTCAACAACGAACAGATAGCCAACATCTAAATCGTTCTCAAATAAAAGATCACCAGCGAATTTCATTTAGCCTCGCATTAAAAAGTGACTTGCTTCCGTCGTGCGAACTCTACGAATACACATTTAACGCTAGAACTATTACATACTTCTCCCAGAAATGATCAAAGACCAACCCGGCAACAGAACGAACTGTAAATCAATCGGAAGTCTCGATAGATGCATTCTTCATTCGGAGTTTCAGTCGGAAAACTGAAAGGTCAATCCGATTTCTCGTTAGTTCTAGCGTTAAGTCAACGATCCGTACGTTCGTTACACAGAAAATCATCGTGAACGAGGAAAAAGATAAGGAGAGAAAATACGGGAGAGACTCACGGTGAACGGAGCCGATTTTATTTCTGTTGATCTTCATGGCGCGTGGTCGCAGCCCTTCTGCCGCGAAAGACGATCGATCCCGAGGACTCGATTCCCCCGTAGCTCGCGCAAAGGATTACGCCTGCTCGGCCTTTACATAACGTTTATGTAAAAGTGCACACCGGTAAGCGGACACTCGACGCGCACTGCGAGCGAAACGGTGAAAAACATGACGATCGTGCTCGAGGAACGCCGGTCCCGACACTCTCGAAGGAGATCCGTCCGCTTTGTCCCGTTGCAGTTTCGAGCAACCTTCGACGCGATGGTGCAACAGGTGTGCGCGCTTCTCCGCGCACTCCGTTTCGTTTCCACGGATCCGAATCGAACGTCGAACGAGGACGCGCGCGCTCGACGGGTTATCAATTCATCCGCGATCGGATAGATCGAAGGGGAGAGATCGGCGTGGGGACGTCGAAACTCGTTTTCGAAAATAGTATCCTCGACGAACCAGCGCGAACTGGTTCTGACCCGCGGCTCAAAGAAAGATCAAACGTTTCCTCGACTCGATTCGAGAGACGTCCTTACGGACACACCGGTTGTTGGGAACCTTGCGAAACTTCTTGCTTTATGGGCGATAGGTTCGAGTCCTACCGAGACAGGGAAAGACGAGTTCCTCGAGCGATTAACACGTTGGCTACCACGGCGGTCACCTGGCGACCCAGCACCTTGCTCGAAAATGAGTATAATACGCAAGACGATCGACGTTGCGTAAGAATGTTTAATCCTTGGCACTCGAAAGTATTTCACTGGAAACATTCAACGATCCGCGAGATAGTACACAGCTTAATATTATGCATGTCTCTATGATCTTGCTGTATCGAATCAAGTGGCGACTGACTCACCTCTCGAGTGCAACGGATTAACAGCGTAAGTAACTAGATAACAGCGTAACCTAAGAACTGTGATTCCGAATAGTTAATAATTGGTTCTATTTATCTTACGAAAGAATGAGTGACGTAAAAGCGAAGATTCCCGTGGCAGTCAACGTGTTATATCAACCGTATACTCGTACTTCACTGCTTCTAAGCGACTTTAGAAAACCCTATTCGTCGGCGGTGCGTTCAGGAAAGAAGAATCCCGTTCGGTTTAGCGAAAATTAGAGAACGACGACACTATTCCCGGCGGAACTAACACAGAACTAATTTTATTGCTGGCAGCGCGCGAGGAACGGTGCACCGAATCGACGAACCGCGGTATCTTTCCGATCGTAACAGTGTCTCTTGCAGTTCTGCACTCGTAAAACGTGCCCGTTCGCGGGGTTTTACAATGTTTTTTAACAACCCGAGTATCGCTGGACACGGAAAGGAAGAGTGCTCTCCGAAGTGAGAACGAGACGCGACGAGGCGAGCCGCGCAGCCGGTCGATTCCGCGACTGCAGCTCGAAAGTCAGCAGTGCACTGAGCCACCTAGCAAAAAGGGAGATTCGAAGAAGGCTTGCAGCGACCGACCACGGTAAATGCCCGCAGCTGCTTCACTAGCCTTTCAGGTGCAGGCAGCATTTAATGCAGCTTTGATCCCTTTATTGTCGATTTCGTCGGGGAAATCCGTTACTGGCCGTGCAGCCTGCCCGGCGATCGTGGAGCAGCCCCTAACGTCGTTGCGCCATTCCTTACGAGGCAACACGAAAATTCGTGAAATAATTCGCTCGTGAAAGGCGGCGTTCTTAGAATAATCAGTTTTGGAATCGAATGCGTGCTGGTTGATGAATAGAAGGTAGAATCGAAGAGATGGGAATCAAGGACAGAGAATCGTTAGCGAGGTATAGTTGTGGTAAGAAGATTATGGCAACAGAATGTTGAAAAAGAAAATAGAAGAAAAGAGGTGCAGAATATGCGGAGAAAAAGAAGACACGATATTGAATAGGAAAAGCCAAGGGATAGGAATACTGAAAGAGCGAGGGAAAGAGTGGAAACGCGAAGAGAGCGAGAAGAACAAAACCAAAGAAAAGGAAGCCAAAGAGGAAAGGCCAAGGAGAAGTACAAACAACGATAAAGCATAGATAAGCGTACATGAGTTAAATAAATGTGAATAGATAGGAAACAGGAAGTTCAACCTAGTCCGAAGGGGAAGGACTATGTAAAATAAGAATAAATAATAAAAATAGCTAGCTTAACCGCGTCCTATTCGTTTCTCTTCGCTCGTTTGAACAGCTTCATAGACTGTTATGTCAATTAGGAAGAAATATTCTGCAACTTCGTAACACGCTTTCGATTGAATCTTTTCTTAGGAGAATGGAATTTG